CACGTCACACTAGAGACTTCCTCCAGAACCACAACATCAATGTGCTCCCCTGGCCCTCAAGATCACCGGACTTAAACCCGATCGAACATCTGTGGGATGCCCTTGACAGACGGGTGCGACGCCGTAACCCTCAGCCCCGGACACTTCAGCAACTCGCACAGGCACTACAGGCAGAGTGGGCTGCGATTGGGCAACACGAAATTCTGAGACTGATTCGTTCGATGCCAAGGCAATGCCGTGCAGTTCTGGATGCCCACGGTGGTCACACGAGGTATTGACTTCAGCGCCACCACACGTCTCCATGTGACACTCAAACTGACTTCCCTCGAGTTGGTGCCAAAGACGGATAAGTCTGCATTCCCAGTGTGCAATTTCGCTATATTTCATTGAATCATAAAGCCTACAAGATTTTTCAAAATAAACATAAAAATACAGTTGAAATTCCTATATGCGTTTATTTTTTTGGGAGAGTATATAATACATGTTTTCCGATCGTGAAGTCATTAAAAAGAATTATGCATTTTCTGCAGTCACTTGTGAATTGAACTAAATGAAGGTCCATCTGATTAATGAGTATCGAGGAAATTATGTTCATCTATAAATTAGACGCAGCTTCATGTTTTTCATTACTTGCACGTGGTGCTAGTAACATTAAGTTTCTATTGGCATTGAATGCATATTTCAGATAAAAGCTAATGGTATTATAGTCACAACATCTATATTGTTTGATGTTAAAAGATTTGGCAATGTGTGTTCATACATTACACTTTTTTGACAGACTTGGCAAATAATTAATAAATTATATTGATAGCATCTTCACGACTTGGCCATACAGTCATGACAATTTAAGGAGTGAAAAGCGAGCGATAGGTCTTGTGGGAATTCAAAGATTCATTAAGACTGTAGCCGTCTAAGCTTAACTCTGTGTGTAATATTTATACATTTTCTATCCACGGACAACACATGCTTTCTAATATTAATATTATTTCCATGGATTCATCATATTTTATCTATAGCTGTGCTATAGTTTTTCATTAAAATTTCTTTTCTGTTGTTGGAATTGAAGTAGGTCCCATTCAGAGCTGGGATCATTTGTCTTTGAAATATAAATTATGCAAACGGCTGGAACCTTGTGTTACAATCCAAAACGTTCGTAGCGCTACAGCTTTCGCATGCCTTTGATAAACTATAGAGTTGTCCTCAACCACTGACTGGATTACATTCTCTTCGTCAGCAGAGAAATTTCGACTTCTCTTTCTCCTTGGGGTGCAGGCGACATTTTGCGTTTTCATTTTTGGTAAACCGGAAGTAAACAGAAAACGGAACTATGGGATATATGGAATCTAACCAGTGACGTTAGCCACACTGTTAAACTTTGACGGCGACGTTAGCTAACGGCATGCCTAACCATGTTTTGAACAACGCATATTTAACGTTCGGTTACCTAACGGCCGGTTAAAGATTTAACCGGCCGTTAGGAGTTAACCGGCGGTTAAGATAACCGAGTTTTGAACAACCGGGCCCAGATAGATAGTTAGTTAACCAACTAAGTACGTTTCCACGAACACCATCATTTTCTAATTTGTGCAATAAACCTTTATGCCATGCCCTGAACAAAGCTTTTGAAATATCACAAAACAGCATACAGTAAAGGTGATGATTATCTAGGACTGAGCATATATTATGATAAATGCCTATGTTGAGATATAGTAGAATGACTAGCAGTAAAACCTGACTGGAATTTACTTAAAATGTTATGTTCATGGAAATGGTCGTGCACATGCTTTACCATTATTCTTTCAAGGATTTTCCAAAGGATAGGTATTAAACTAATAGGTCTGTAATTAGTTGGGAGGGATGCATTTCCTTCTTTCAAAATAGGAGTAACATTACCCGTTTTAGACATTGTAGGAAATACAGTCACTCAGTGATATATTATACAACAAACAAAGAGGTTCAGCTATAGATGTACAAATTCGTTTTAACACTCTCGTGTTAATGCCATCAGGTCCACTAGATTTGTTTGCTGGTAAGGTCTTATCAGATACCTCCTTTTCGGTTACAATGACATTTGTTATACTGTTAACACAGCGATGGCTAACAGGTGGCAAAGTCTTGCCGCCATCAGTAACATTTGAAACAGATACAAAATATTCATTTAATGTTTGAGCTTTATCCAAATCTGTAAAAACTGAAGGTATCCCAGAATCATCAGTGACAAGAAGGGGAATGGGTCCCGATGAAGTAGTAACCACCTGATTGAGTAGACTGAGGTGATAAATAGTTATCAAAAATAGATTAAAAGTTTCCTTGGCTATTCTTTTCAGATTATTTACTTTATTCCTTTGCTTTTTGTATTTAAATAGCTCAGAAGTATTCAGAGATCGAAATGCTTTTTTCCTTAGACGTTCTCATTTCTTTTTAGTATGTTACGATGGGCGTTGAAAAAGTAGTCAAACTAACTATATTCTCGATGTCCAATGTTTGAAAAAAAGCATCCATTTTATTTTGAAGGAATCATTAGCAAAGTCATATCCATGATTGCATGTGGGTAATGTGGTTAGCGAGATATTAGTTATCACAACATTGGGGTATTATGTTTCTTGCAAATTTGCAGAAAAATGGAAAACGATCTCCCATTTGGTATCTAGTAATAGTAATAGTCCGCTTATATGGCGCTCACATCAAGGCACATTGCCTGCTCACGGCGCTACGTACATTACTATCCCCGATCATAGGACACTATCGTAGTTTCCGATACTTTTTAAACTCCCTGGGGACTGTACAGCCATGCTGCCTGTTAGGCGCAATGAACTAAACACTCACATTGCCAGCACATACTCACGGGTACCCATTTTACAGCTGGGTGAACTGAGACAGTGTAGATCTAAGTATCTTGTCCAAGGATACTACGCAAATGTGCCCATCTCGGGAACCGAACCTCGGCGCCTCCTCGAAACAGGGCTTTCAGCGTGATAGGCAGACGCCTTACAACTGCACTATTGCGCTATCTCTTGGATAATGGTATACCCTCAGATAGTATCATATAAAATATGTTCAGCATAGTATTGGATGAATTCCCGTCATCATCAACATTCAAAGATTTGGATTGCTTGATTTACATTTAGACGGGGACTGTATTTTTAGGACACCCTCATTCTAAATTTTCAAAAACATTGTGTCCAGATATACAACATATTGAGAGCTGACACTTGTGTGACCATTCAGTATTTAGTTTGAACCCTTGACACCATGTATGAATAGTGAAAACTTTAGGATGAGTTATATCCTTATGATGACGTCAACTGAAAGGGGGTGAGTAGTGTCTCCAAAACAACCCCTTTCAGAAAACATGAAGGGGGAGTCACTTGAACAAGCGATTATAGTTTAAAGTTGCTTTTATGTGCAGTTTAATATCTAAGTTTGACTTTTACCAACATACAACATGTATTTTGCATATTTTGTTTCAATTGGTGTAGGGGGATTCCCGCCAATACACCTTGATATAAAATTGGATCAAAATCTATTAATTCTTTCCTAAGTTCGCGGCTACCAAGCTTGGCATGTGCAAAACTGTTACACCTTCGCTGTGACCTTTAAAATGACCTCAATGTCACTAAATTCAAGTGGTGTCGGTAAATCTCGTCAATAAACCTTGGTACCAAATTTGAACAAAATCCATCATTTCTTTCTCGAGTTCTTCAGTAAACCGAAGGGGGAGTCATTTGAACAAGCGATTGTAGTTTCAAATTGCCTTTTTTGTGCAGTGTAATATCTACGTTTGATTCTAGCCGACCTCTACAAATCTCAAACATACAAAAATGTTTCTTGCATATTTTGTTTCCTGAAGTTTAATTTGTGATGCATGTCATTGCTAGTCAGCTAGGCTGTTCCATTTGTCCGAACCACAACATACGGAGACAGATCATTTAGCAGACCGGGTGCTGTACTCTGGAATTGATTACTTGAAAATGTCAGAAAATCGGAAAATATCAACAGTTTCCGATCTTATCTCAAAACCACCCTCTTCAAAGGAGCATTCGACTAAGTGCACATGAGCAGGACTCTGGATATGTAGCGCTATACAAATGTCTAATTTGATTTGATTTGATTTGATACACCCGTTATAAACCCACCCCCACCCCACTTTATATTTATACATATCAAAACCTCAAAAGATATTTGCGAAAAGACATGATACAGAGGACAGTAAGAGATTTTATATCGATTATATATCAGGACGAATATCATTTTCGTCATTTAGCTAAGATTTGTCAATTCTTTCTTGGGTATGGCGCTAACAATCTTCATATTGGCAAAACCCTCAGATTTTTGCTGTGACATTGAAAATTATCTCAAGGTCACTCCATTTCACTTGTGTCGGTGAATCTCGCCAATATACCTTGGTACCAAATTTGAACAAAATCCATCATTTCTTTCTTGAGGGAAATGCCACCTGCGAGCGATTCAACAGAACGCTGCACAACTTACTTAGAACCTTATCCTCAGAAAAGAAGAACCATTGGCCCGAACAACTGCCAGAACTCATTAATGCCTATAATTCAACTCCCCATGCTACTACTGGATATGCTCCCCACTACCTGTTCTTTGGGAGAGAACCTAGGGTTCCCATCGACATGTTAATTGGTGCAAGTGATGGAGTGCAAGAAGAGTGGACAGCAGAACATTATCAAAAACTACAAGATGTTTATCGCCTGGTATCCGAGAGGACAGAATGTGAAGCTCTAAAGAGAAGAACCCGGATCAACAAAGACGCCAGGGACAAAGAACTCAGCATAGGTGCAAGAGTCTTTCTCAGGAATCACCCCCCCAGGCCGAAATAAAATCCAGGATGTATGGCGCCCTACACCATACAGAGTAGTGGAAAAGAAACCATTTAACGAGTATGTCATTCAGCCACTACAAGGAGATGAACATACTAAAACAGTTCACAGGAAAGAGTTGCTTGATTCACGTACCCTAGTGGATGACATCCACAGTGAACCTGAACAGGAAGAAAGGTTGCCAGATAATCTACCTGAGGAGATGGAACTGATCAATGAAGACAATGACGATTTTGGAAATGACTATGATTTCGTTATCGTTAGTGAAATCCCTGGCGTGGAAACAGTAGAAGCTGGGACCAAGGGCGGGAACATGCCACAGGAGACAGATGCTGCAGAGTCTGTCGGTCCGGATGAAGCTTCAGGAGCTGAAATTCTCAGAGAAGAAGACACGCCAGTGGAACTACCCGGAGATAGGTCAGAGGGGACTGGTTCATGCGAAGCAGGGGAGCCAGAGGCTGTTACGCCACCACGGAGATCAACAAGGAGCACAGCTGGAAAACATCCTAACCCTCTTAATCTACCAAGATCAACTCTCCAACAAGAAACAACTAATACCACAATGATGCAGCTGGATCCATCTGTGATTGCTGACATCACTAAGACACAGTTACTACTGGTTCAACTGCTTTCAAAGTCCGTCCAGAAGTGATGAAAGGTGCACTTTCATTCTTTGAACAGTATTTACCAAAACAGTATTCGATTTTTGGTGCTCATAATTTACATTTATGGTCTGATTTTTCAATGTGTATGATATATAAGACTTCTTTATGGTTAGAGTTATATCTACCATGTTTCTGTATTGCATTTGGTCCAGTTAGCGAGGATAAGTACCGCGATGTCCTCAAGTAATATATTGTATGACATGATAGTTACATTGTGGTATTCAGTGTCTAGTTGCCAGGAGTCAACTAGGAAGCAGGGGAGTGTAAAGTGCCATCAGTCACACGTCTTTACTCACATTATCTTCGACAAACTCCGTCAGGGCTCGGAAAACTTTGTAAACATTACTGATTAAGAGGTTATTTCTTATGTCACCTCTCCTATATTTTCACATCTGTACTTGAGGTCTGTGCTTAAGATCCCTTTTAATTTCTACACATTCACAAAAGAATAATAACAGCTGTAAGTAATTACTTTGAGCTTACCCAAAATGCTCCTCTTATCGCTTCATCTCGCGCCCAAGGCAGGCCATTTGTTTAGCCAGCCAGCCGAGCAGCACGTTGTTTGACCACAGAGCATTGTTTTGTCCAGTTCTAATGAGCCAACCATTTAACCAGTAAGTACACTCCCTTCGCTTATCAATTGTGTTGTTATGCTATAACAGTGTATTTGTCTGTGATACAGCCACTGGCAAAGTTTACTTGATCAGAAAGTTGATTGTTTTAGTAATTGTGATTATCTCGTAGCCATCCATGTATAACTCGTTATGGGGAAAATGTTTCATTTTTTAAATGTGCTGTCATCAATGTTTATAGAGTAGAATTGTAACTTGAAAGCATGTTTTTGCTCAATGGTTGTGTGGGAACGAATAGTGTATAAAATGTTGTTTGTATTAAGTGATCCACTAATTAGTGACAATTTTAGGTTGTACTGTTATTTTATTTGTCACTCCCCGTAAGCAGTTATCTCCCTTGCTCACTGCCATTCTACAGTTTCCGTGAACCGTAATTATTCACTCCAACTCCATTGTTTTGATTTGTTCCAACTTGTTAGTTTCAAAACCGCGTGTTAACGGGAGCACTTAGATTAGCCTCGAGTGTGATAATGTTTGTAGAAAAGTATGCAATTCATCATTATGATCGCCACGATGTGTTTGCCTGAAATTGTCAGTTTACTCATTGTATTGTAGTCGCATCCCACCAGGCAAGGAAGCCCCGTCCGGTTGTGGACAGATGTATCCAAGGTAGTTGGGGGTGAGTTTATATATCTACCTCAACTGGAAAACGGTGTAAAGTTTCATTTATTTTTCATGTTAGTTATTGTATGTTATTAGTTAGATTAACTTGTGTAAAACTATTAAATAAGAGGTGACATACCCACTGGGTCTGGTATTTTTGCTGGAAGTTATGCAAGTGCTATTGGTACAGTTGACTTTGTATGTAAAAGATGCTTTCTTCCATGTGAATGTTTATATTGTACTTTTATGCACTGTGCTTATCTAAAATTCTATGGGATTACGATGGACATGTTTCATCTGTGACAGGCCATCCATGATGTTACCATGTATATTGAATGTTTTGTTTTATTGTTTAGGTCTATCGTCTTCAGTACAATAAAATACGGACCCAGAGAACGACTCTGTTCTGATTTTTACATACACATCACATTCAGTGTCTCAATTAAACTTGTGCTGTTCAGTCGTCTGTTGTTCGTCTCGTCCTAGCATCACATTGTTACTGTCCCTAACCTGCACTCATGCTAGGCCAGTATAACACACCTCGTGCGCTACTCAAACATTTATCCTTGTTCAGTCTCAAGTTTACTTTCTCACATCTCTGTAGAACTTTTTCCAGCCTTCTATCATGTTCTGCAGTATCTCTTCCCCATATCAGACGGCCTCCGTGGTGTAGTGGTTAGAGCGTCCGCCCGGAGACCGCGGGTTCGATCCCCGACCGCATCATACCAAAAGACGTTAAAATATGGTACCTGTTGGTCCCTGCCTGGCGCTCGGCAATAATGGGTACAACAAGGACTGGTCGGCTCGGAGTCAGTATAATGTGTCTGAGTGGGGTATTCATGCTTCACTGCGGCATGGTATCTCAGTGGGCTAGCACTATAAAGCCAGTTTAAGTTTGGGCTAGTACAAGCAGCTGCACATACACATACACACGCATGCACGTCGTCATGAGCGAAATATTCTCAAGCACAACGTAAAACCCAATTTCACCTCACCTCACCTCTTCCCCATATCAGTAGGTAATCTGCAATAACCTCACATCCTTCAATATCTTCAAAGATCTGGGTCAGAGTTCTCTGAAAGATTTCTGGTGCAGAGCATATCCCAAATGGTAATTGTTAAAACTTGAATCTTCCATAGGGTGTATTAAATGTAGTGAGCAATGTACTCGCCTCATCCAATTCAATCTGCTAGAACCCTGATGCGGCATCTAATTTGCTGAAGACAGACTTTGCCTCCTTCAATGTTGCTGCCACTTCCTTTGTCTTTAGAGGATAGTATTCCCTGAGAATAGCCTTGTTAAGACTGTGCGGGTCCAGGCATACTCTGACTGTTCTGTTTGGCTTCTCAAACGTATGGATTGACCCACTTAGTTGGGGTCTCAACTTTTGTTATAACCTCAGCATCTTCCATCCTCTGTAGTTCCGTCTTGACCCTCTCCCTCAAAGCAAATGGAATCTTGCGTGGTGCATGTATTACCAGCGTAACATCTGGAACAACTTTTATGTGCTGATGAACTCCCTCAATGCTGCCTAGTCAAGAAAACATAAGATAATATAACATAAGATAACATAACATAATTTCTTTATTAACCCAATTGAAATTTGTTTTGCATCATATGCAGTTTTCCAGTTTTTCTTTCATAAACCAGCCATATATAACATTGCAAATGATAATCATAAAGATATTGCTTAAAATAAAAATAATTAGGATATAAATACATCGATTTAGTACACAAACATTGATATAGACTAGAGTTTGGACAGATGGAAGACAAGTTATTCATTGAATTTGCTGTTAATACATATAATATTAGCTGGAACAAATGAGTGGCGCAATCTGTATACTTTCGATAGGAAGCCCAATAATTTTAGACGCAGTGTTTATGATTTTTGAGAGTTTGATTTTGTTCTGGACAGACAGGTTCCCGAACCAACTCAAGAAATTAAAGGTTATGACACTTTGAATAAAGGTTTTGTAAATTAACATCATGGTAGTTTGGTTGATTTTAGAATGTTTCAACTTCCACAAAAAATGCAAGCGTTGTTGTCCTTTCTTATATATTTTCTCAGTGTTTTCGTTCATTATCTTCAATACTTACAGCATTTATTGTTGACTTACCTTTAGCTCGGTAACTAAGTTCTGATTCCCTAACAAGGCTTACCAATGCAGCATCAACAGCGAATTTAACAGTAAAACACGTTTCTGCATTGGATGCAGTCATTGGTGTACAATATAACCAAAATTGGTAATAGTCCCTTGAATACCTACGCATGTTTAGCCTCTGTGTCTGCTGCACTACTTGGCCCATGCTTCTCTGTTGATAGCATGAACATTGGTTTGATGTCCTTACATGTTTCCAGTCCTAAAATGGGTACCACATCTTGGTCCACTTATTATATGATACTTCAGAGTATATAGGTGAGTGTCATGTTCCACTAGCAGTAAACTTATACCCAGAACTTCTGGTTTATGTCCAAAATATGATACTAGCTTGGTCTAGACTTGGTAAGCATCCTTCCTCCTAGAGACTTGTACAGCTCCTTGGACATCACATGACCGTGAGCTCCTGTATCCAGTTTCAGCTTCACTGGTGTGTCATTGATTAGAACTTTCAGTTTCCGTTCTTTGTTTCCTGCATCCTACACTGAACACAAAGAATGCCTTTGATTCATCTCTTTGATCTGATTCCTTATCCAACACATATGTGTACCTTTCCAACATGTGTACCTCTTCATTTATAGTCCAGCATACTTTGTCAAAATGATTCTTCTTTCCACAGCTTCCACGTTTTCCCATAGGCTGGGCACTCGCCTTTCCCATGCCTATTTCCACAGAATGTTCAGTTATATTTATGCTGCTTCCTGTAATGCCTGCCTCTTTCTTTGTGTTTTCCTCTGTTCTGTCTCTGTCCCACGTGTATCACCCTGTCTTCACGTGTATCACCCTGTTTATTTATTCCCTCCCTCTGTGACACTACTGTACATGCACTGGCTTCCCTGATTAAGTTATTTCTTTCAGCTGTGTATTGCTTGTTTCAGCAGCCCTACAAATGTCTATTGCTTTGGCTAGTGTTAAGTCAGCTTCCCGTCTGCCTCTCACGTGGTCACTGACAATCCCACAAACAATGCGATCCCTGATAAGTGAGCCATGTAATGTCCCATACTCACAAGTTTTGGCTTTATTCTGTAGGTCTGTCACATAATTGTCAATACTCTCACCAAGCGCCTGGTTTCTGGTGTTGAATAATGTATTTCATATGTAACATTCTTTCTTGGAATACAATAGCATTCCAACTCATAAATCTTTGCTACCTTTGTCGCATCGTTTGCTTCTGTCCACGTGGAAGTATTGTAAATGTCCAGCACTTCCGGTCCGAGCACATGCAACAACGTGTTCGCTCGAATATTTTCTCGTCTTTCTCACCAAGGCCATTTGCTGCACTGTAAATGTCAAACTGATGTTTGAAACGTCTCCAATTATCTGTTAGGTTATCTTGTAAATTCAAAGAGGGGGATTTAATCTTTCCATCCTTAATTTCTTCTGACACCATGTGATGGACGAGGCTCACATGGGTGATAACTCTTCAGTGAGAGGTACAGAAACAATCAAGGGAAATCACTCCGGCAGCCTTATCAAGGTCAACACGACCTGGGTGCTCATGATAACTACTACACAGTCTGCAGTCTGGTTCCCGGGGTCTGTTGCGCCTGCGCTCACTCTCCGAAACTGAAACGTCTGCAGTTCATGGTTGCCATATAAAGGTAGCGAAAGTGACGTCATGACAAAGAAAACAACATAATTGGTTAAGCAGTAAGCTGATGAAGCCAGTGAGTACACAAAGGGTAGTGAATGGAAGCCAGAGATGTACATAGGAGTAGTACAATCGCAAATCAAAAGTGCAATATTTTGTACTTGGGTTTACTTCTCTCGAAACGAAGCACCCGGGATACCGAACCCAGTCAGAGCGGGTGGGCGGGCACTTAAGTGTAACGAAGGCTTTCATTGGCTGGTTCATTTGCAGACACACTCTTTGTGTGTGTATAGAGATGTTGGGTTTTGTAAATGCATGCTCATATTTGGTGTATAACATTTTGCAATCAACAGACACCATAACATGTCATGTGTACAAGTATCACACCTGCCTGTCTGTGTAATTACATAATGTGACAGAGACAGAACTCGGGTGCACGAGCCATAAATCAATGCGTTTTGTTTATGGTGTATAGCCTGATGGGTGATGGCTAGCGAAGGTTTTCCGTCTTGAAATGTCGAACGCCTCACTGGTTGAGGCATAGCTGAGTAGATCTAGAGCAGTAAGGTCACCAAAGACCTCTACAGTAACCATCATAGATGTGGTAAGACCACTACTCCAACCATGAGGTCCCTCCCCTATCTTGTGATTGTGAAGTGGGGACAGACAGACAGACAGACAGACAGACAATACTTTATGAGCTTGAAATGGATTCGTTTTGGTTCACAGAGCTTGACAAAAATACAAATGAATAACAACATAGAAATATGATATTCCTTAAAAAAAACAGAGGTAAATATGTGCTTAAATATAATTAAACGAATAAGACGATACCTGGACATTCAACATTTGTTTAAAATTGCAATACTTTGAGGTACAAAAGAGCTTGTTTAGTCTTGGTGATTGGCACTGTAATAGCGGCGGCCCGAAGGTAAAAGCTTATACTCTAGATTTAAACAATGTGTTGTGTCATTAATGATTTTTTCAGACGTTGAAAACTACTGTTGGAATTTTGTGCATTCATATTTTGGAAGTTTGGTGATATCCCTGGATACAATTTCATAATGGATACAGTTTTGTGCACCTTGGATTACAAAAGATATCTCAACTCATTTCACATTAAGGTGAGTTAACCAACTTCATTTTTGTTCCCTATTTCGCCTTGCAATCCGAGCGTTAGTGTTTACCGCGAAACGAAAGAGTAAATATTAACCGGCTTCGTTCGTCTAATGGCTCTTGCTGAAAAACAAAGTAAAATAATGATTTTTGAACAAATGTGTTGATTGAATGTCATGTTAATCAGTTTTCAGAATAAAATAGGCCTTATCATAAGTTCACAATATTATTTACAAGTACCGCGAAACAACGTGGTCGCAGGCAAGCTCATTCCGGGCCATATAATATGCTCAATGATTTCTCCAAACATGTGATTTTATTATAAGAAAAATGGCTCATTTACATAAAATGACACGCCTACCAAACCATTAGCCAATCAGCATAGAGCACTCCCAAATAGCTGTCAATCAACCAAGCTAACATCGGGTGGCGAATCAGAGCGGAACAACACAACGTGACGCGTTCCGTTAACGGCAAAGTTTCAAGTTCAAACATTTGAATTATTACCAGCGAACTGAAAGAC